CACACCTGGGACACCCAGAGACAGGGACACACCAGCACGGCCACTTGGGTGTTCATGGTGGCTCTGCAGACCCCAAAGTGAACGAAAAATTCTGTCTTCAGTTGCCTGCATCCATCAGGACAAGCTGTGTCCCCGGGATTTTGGAGCAATTGGCACAGGGGAAACACTGAACCCACAGCAGCCCAGCCTCAGCAACCCTCCCTGGAGATCCCTGACCCTGGTGGTGGGGGAAACCCCAGCAGGAGGAAGAGAAGGTTCAGCAAGGCAGCGATGCTGCTCTCGCAAAGATGTGGAACCAGCATCCCCCTGCTGCTTCCAGAACCCCATTGCTGCCTCCAGAACACCACTGCTGCCTCCAGAACCCCACTGCTGCCTCCAGAACCCCACTGCTGCCTCCAGAACCCCATTGCTGCATCCAGAGTTTCATTTATGCAACCAGAATCCCATTGGTGCCCCCAGCATCCCACTGCTGGCCCCAGAATCCTTTTGCTGCTTCCTGAGTCCCATCACCACATCCAGAGTCCCATTTATGCCTCCAGAATCCCACTGCTGCATCCAAAATCACATCACTGCATCCAGAATCCCATCACTGTCTCCAGAACCCCAGAACTTCCACAGAGCATCACGACTCAAAAGTTCCAAGCAATTTCTTGGACACTGGGAGGTTTCCTCTCCTCATCCAAACACTCTCAGCTCCAAAACCCCGCTGGGAGAGCAGCAGCAATGGGAAACATTTAGATCCAACAGGCAAATATGGTTTTTTAAACTCAGCAAAATCAACAGGCCACTTGAGGCAACTCAGCCCAGATGGTGCCAGTCCCTGGCTGGAGGGAATTGGGAGTTTGGCAAAAATATAATTTGAGGTGGAGGGATGGGCATCAGGAGTGGGATATGAGGAGTCTGCCCTCTTCCCCACCACAAGTATCCTAAAGGATCCTAACTGCAAAAAGAATGCTACAAAAAAGATAAAGATTTCAAAAAGAAAAAAGCCTAGATTGAGAAAATATCCTTAACAGACACAAATAAATTCTCAAACTGATGAGCACCACTTGGACTGCAGCAAACAGAGGAGGCAATTCCCCAAAGGCATTTTCAGCTCAAGCATTGTGAGACTGCTCCTTCTCCTTGAGGAGTTCTGCCATTTAAAGCTGCTGTGTGTGACTATCTCTTGACCAAAATAAACTCTGTGCCTGTTTCTAAATTAAAGAAAAAAAATAGGAAAAAAAAAAAGAAGTTCTGAAAGCATTTCCCCTCTGTCACACCCCTCAAGTGCAGCTATTTTCTGTGTGTGTCCTTTGTTTCAGCACAAGGACCTCTGTCTCTCCCCGAAGATGCCCCATGGCAGTTGGGATGTCAGAAACCAGAGCTCGTCAGCAGCTGGAGAATTTGCAGTGAAGCTCTTTTTCCTCCTCCAAACTACGAGCCTGCCAGCCACTGAGTTTGGATGGGAATTTTCTTCCCAAGGAAAATGACATTTAGGGCAGGGCCACATGATCCATGTGCAAGGAGCCCTGGGAGTGTTCCCACACCAGCAATCTCCTGGACACCAGAGCCAGCCTGAGTTTTGTGTTTCTGGTGCTCATCCCTTTCCCCCAGCAGATCCCTTTGGGATGGATCCCCACCTCACAGAGATTTGCAGCAGCAGCAGCCCCCAAACCAGACAAAAACTGATGCCAAAGATGGAAACAGATCCTGGCAGTTCCAAAATCCAGGGTAGCATCTCTGCTGCATCACCCCTCCCTCAGACAGAACTCTTCTGGCATTACCATAACAATAATTAGAACAGGAATATTATTGATCATTTTCAATAATAAAAAAAATTCTTCGTAAAATATTGGTACCCAACACCCATGTGCAGCTCCACTGCTGTTTTCCACCTCCTTGGCATTCAGCACAAGGCTCCAGCTTGGACCAGCCAACATCCATGGCTGGATGCAGCCCAGATGGGCAGGTCAGACCCTCCAGGAACACCAGAAATGCCACCAGCCCTTGTCACCCTTCCCTGTGGCATTTTGTCACTCAGTGTCACTCCAAGCGCTGCTGCCTGGCCAGGGCACGTCGGCAGCAGCTGAAGCAACTTCTGCTGATCCAGCACTACCACCAAGGGCTGTGATTTTAACATTTCTACACCACAAAATGTCCCAGAGCAGAACAATTCCAACATGCAGAGCAGCTTTTTTTCCCAGGATAGGTCATTCGTACTGGAATAAAGTGTACCAGCATAAGCTTTCACCAGAATAATCTTCATTTATGCCTAAGAGGCTTTGCCAGTAAAACTACAGTGACCTAGCTCTGCTGGAAAACCTTTTCTGGCATATCCTGGGAGTTCACTCAGCAGCTCAGCGCTCAGATCTGAGAGAGGGGAAGTTAAAAAAATAACCATATTTCAAGGCACAAACAGACTCCCTGAGCTGTGGTTTTCTGCAGCTGAGGAGAGCTGCCCACCTAGGATAAAACCCACAGCTTGTTCATTGGGGTCAGAGGGGTTTGCAGCAGGTCAGAGGGGCTTTTTGAGGAGCTGTCACTGTAGGCCCAATCCAGGAGCCTGTCCCTGGCACCAGCTGAGATTTGGAAAGCCACTCACACCCCCCTGCTTCCGCTTCTCTTTTTTTTTTTTTTTCCCTCAGCACCTCTTCCTCCTTAATCAGAAAGAGAATCAACCCTGAGTATTAAGCAGGAGGAAATTCTAAATTTGGGTTGCCACTCCCTTCCTTAAGTCAGCTCTTGGTGTCAGAGCTCTGCATGACCAGCAGCATGGATCAGCCTCCTACCACCATCCTCCTCCTCCTCCTCCTGGGCTCTCTCCAGCATCACTTTGGGGTGCCCAGTTTGCAAATCCTCACCCCCAAATGCACGTGGAGCAGGTAAAGGCAGAGCCCCACATTCCTTCTTTGGTGATTCTGCACCAAAATGAACCCGGCAGTGCAAATCTGTGTCCTTTTGCTTTCATTCCTCAAAAGCAGCTTGGGAATCTATTGTGATTTCCTGAAAAGGGACCTCAAATAATGCAGGTTTCCCTTTCCATTGCTCTCACCTGCCCCACAGCAAAGCAGGGGACGACAAAACACAGCAGGATCTGGGCAGGACAGCGGTTTCCATGTGAAAATTGCCATGGTAATGCTGTGACCA